CACCCTAAACCCCTAAACCCCTAAACCCCTGAACCCCGAAACCCCTAAAGGGTTTAGAAGTTTAGCCCCTTCCAGGGTTTGGGGGCCCTAAACCCTAAACCCTAAACCCTAAACCCTAAACCCTTCCGGGGCTTAGGGGCTTTTCAACACCGAAGTCTGCAGGTCGGGATCCAACCGAGCCGATCTGCATGACCAAGGTGCCCCATGGATGCTGGGTTGCAGTATTTTTGTTGCAAGGGTTTAGGGTTCAGGGTCTAGTGTTTAGGGGTTTAGGGTTTAGGGTTTAGAGTTTAGGGTTCAGGGTTTAGGGTTTAGGGGTTTAGGGGTTTAGGGTTTTGAGTCTAGGGGATAGGGTTGTTTAGGGGCGGGGTACAGTCGATTTCAGCCTACTTTGAGAAACATCCTGATTTGAAGCCTTGGAGGGGTGGAGGCTGAAGATTTGTGGACGTGTGTAGAATGTCTGTGGGTAGTTCTCTAAATTAGGGTCCCCTTTTAGGTCCCCAATATAGTACGGCACCCTTATTAAAAGGACCCTAAAAGGGACCCTAATTTGGAGAACTACCCCTGTAGATGTCAGGATGTGTGCAGAATGTCTAGACTTGCCTTGCGAGTCTTGGTGCGTCGGCTGATGTGAGTCACAGTAGCCACGGTACCATCATTGTCATTTGCATTAGACCACTACTGATGCAGCATATCATATCTCAACCAGTATATATAATGTATAGATGTGTGTGTTTATACATCTGTGTACATATGTATATATGTATGTGGGTATAATCTTTTGAAGAATTGGTGGTCGCTTTCGTGGGTTTGACAGGGTCCTCCGCTACAGGGGATCTTCTGTTCTACTGGGTCTTCTGATGTCTTCTGTGGCACGGGGTCTTCTCTTCGACAAACTCTTCTGTCAGGCTAGGGTTCAGAGTTTAGGGTTTAGGGTTCTAGGAGTTCTGACTTTGAAATGGCTTGCCGGGTTTGATTTCATCTGGTTTGGAAAATGCCCGTATAAGGCTTTCAACTGAAAGACTATGCGTACATAGGTATGCGATACGCATGTCTGCGTTTCTATCCATGCAAACAATCGGTCGTTATCGCTGTCATATCAAACCTGTTTCCATTAGTCTTGTTCTTCGTTTCGTAGCACAGGAGTAAAGCTAGGCTAGGCCAAGGGGGTTGCTGTAGCTTTCTACAGGGTGTCTGCGTCAGCAGCGACACATGCCTGCAATGCTGCTCACCCCAGTTTGACAGCAAGAGGTGGTTCCGAGACAATCGTGAAAATGGCGCTGCCGATGAGGCGCATAGGAGAGTAAATGGGGGTTTCCGAAAATAGGGGACCCTAATATAGTACCCTGAATAATAGGATCCTTGTTATAAGGACCCCCAAAATAAGGTANNTAATTTTTGGAAACTCCCAAATGAGTCTGGCAAGAAGGAGCATCGAAGCTCATTCTACCGAGTGAGCCGACCTTCGTACCATATGGACACATTAAGAGTACCGCAAGCAAGAGCAGTCTATAGCAATTTCAGTAGCAGCATTGTAATCATGGGCATCCATATTCATAGAATATGAGATGAGCCCTCAGCAGACAAGCGCAGAACAAGGCCCCAAACCCGACACCCTCAGACCGAAACCCTAAGCCCTAAACCCCAAACCCTAAACCCTAAACCCTAAACCCCTAAACCCTAAACCCTAAACCCTAAACCCCCAAACCCTAAGCCCCAAAACGTGCCCAAGGCACAGATGTGGATTATGGTGCACT